GGGAGCAGCCGCCGCCAGTGCCGGTCCCCGGGGGCGCCATGGCGACCGGAGCGAACGCCACGCCGCTGGGTAAGCTGGGGCCCCCCGGGCTCGCCCCGCTTCCCGGGCCCAAAGGGGGCTTCGAGCCGGGGCCTGCGCCCGGGCCCGGGGCGGGACTGCCGCCGCCGCCGCCCGTGGGCGCCGTGGGGGCCCTGAGCGCGGCCTTCCCGTTCGCGGCGCTGCCGCCGCCGCCGCCGCCGCCGCCCCCCCCGCCTCCCCAGCAGCCGCCGCCGCCGCCTCCGCCGCCGTCCCCGGGCGCGCCGTACCCGCCGCCGCCGCCGCTCTTCCAGCGCGTGTCGCCGCAGCCGCCGCCCCAGCCGCCGCGTCAGGACCAGCAGCCGGGCCCGGCCGGCGGCGGAGGAGGTGAGTCGGGCCGAGCGAGCGCGCGAGAGGCGTCGCGCGGACGGGCCCGGCCGGCGGAGGGGCGCGCGGCGGCGGCGGCGACGGCGGCTGCACGCGGCAGGGGCGCGCGCGCGTGCACGGGGAGGCCCGGGCGGAGGCGCCCTGGGGCGCGCGCGCGGCCCGGCCCCCGGGGCCGCGAGTGCGCAGGCGCGCGGGGGGAGGGGCGCGGGCGGGCGGGGGGTGTGGTGCGCAGGCGCAGTGGGGCGGCCTGGCTCGGCGGCTCCCGGGGGCCTTCCGGCGTGCGTGTGTGGGGGAGCGTGGAGGGCTTGGGGTGAGCGTGGGGCCGAGTGTCGTGGGTGGGAGCTCTGGCTGACGTTCCCCTGATGGTCACTGAGGGGTACGTGGTGGTCGATACGTGTGTGCAGGAGGGTTGAGCCGTGAGGTGTCGCCTGTGGGGTTCGGGTCCTCCGTGTGCACCTGCTCTCGGCCACGCTCAGGAAGAAAAAGGCAGCCCTGTTGAAGTGGTTTTTCCCCTTTAGTGACGTGTGCGAACAGGCTTAGCTGCGTTCCCGGTCCCTTAGACAGGTGCCTGGCGAGGGGGGTGGAGGTGGCAAGAGCCAGCAGTTCCAGTACCGCTTTACGGCCCTGTGTGATCCATTCACATCTCATCTGGGCTTGGAAGGCAGTCTTGGCTGACACGTACTTTTTTTACGATTAACCTTATCTATTGGTAAAGACCGTTACAGAGGGGGAGAGACAGAGCTCTTCTGTCTGCTGGTTCACTCCCCAGTTGACTCCGACAGCCAAGGGTGGGCCGGGCCAGGCCAGAGCCAGGAGCTCCGTTCTGGTCTCTCGTGGATGGCAGAGTGCTCGGGCCATCCTTGGATGCCTTGCCAGGTGCGTTGGCAGCATCTGAATCGGAGGTGGAGCGGCTGGGACTGGAACTGGGATGCAGGCGGCCTGACCCCCCAGGCTGCCACCACAGTGCTGGTGCTGATGTGGGCGTCCTAACACTGTTTGACACTGCGTTAGGGTTTGCTAACTTGTTTACATACTTTTGAGTTTTTCTAGACAAGAATTAAAAATGTTAACCTTCCTGACCCCGGAGCCATGTGTTGTAATCCCTGCCCTCGGAGGTTTGTTTTCTGCTCTTTGCCATTTAAATTTTAGGTCCAGTTCTCAGTCCGCACCTGCTGAGGCGCTGTGCGCTCCTCGAGTATCCTGAGCTGCCTGTGGGTGTTGCTCTGCGGGTTTCTATGTGCGCCTGATGGGCTCTGTCTGCCTTTAGACTTCCCGAGTAAGAAGCGGAAGAGGAGCCGATGGAACCAAGACACGATGGAGCAGAAGACGGTGATTCCAGGAATGCCCACGGTTATCCCCCCTGGACTGACCCGGGAGCAGGAAAGAGCTTACATAGGTAAATCCACGTTCTGCATCCGAGCGATCCTCAGGGCGTTCCGTGCTCCGAGTGCTGTTGTGTCTGCCGGAAGCTGCAGCTGTGGTTCTGAGACGAGATCTGTCAGGTGTGCTCATGCCTTCCGCGTAACCCGTCAGGTTTCGCTCCTGAGTCCTGCCTTGGCGACTCTGGTTTGTTCCTAACAACACCGTTCTCTACGAGTGCCAGGACAGTAGTGGGGCCCACTTAGGAGTGAGAATAGTCCCCCGTCCCGCAGCCCCCTTTCTGCTGCTGTGGGATGCCAGTGGACGAGGGGAGTGTCGTCTGCCGGCCGGCCGGGCCCGCCCCGTGGAGGGGCCTGGAGCTGGCCCGGCTGGGACCCAGGAGCGTTGCGCAGCAGGGCCTTCCACCGGGCGTCACGTTCCTCCTCTCCCCGAAGTGTGACCTTTTACTTCTTATAGGTGCTTTCTGAAAGGGGAAAACCCACCTGAACAAAAAGTGCCTCTGGAAGTGTTTACAGCTCACTCTTGACCATTCGTTGGATGTAGCCTTCCCGTCAGCATCTTTCTGGTCTGGTTTCGGGCTGTCTTAAAATGAGGGCTCCTGTCCTGACGCAGAAGTAACTCGGGACAGGGATGCTGTGTGCGATGCAGAGGTGCTAGGAGCATGGGGAGTGGTCACGGTAGACTCGAAATTAACTTCAGAGTTCCTTTTTTCCCGTAATCTAAGATTTTTAACCTGAGTCTTATCTTTATATTTTTATATACCTGTGCAGTTGTCTCAGATATCCACTCTAAACATTTCCTGCTAACAGACCCACAGCCGCTTTGGTGGAAGTAGGGCAGAGACTGACGGTGCTCTGACCCCCCAAGCATAAAGCTTGAAGCTGACATGATTGTTGAGGGCCTGGGTTTCCTGTTCTTCCTACACTGCTGAGAAGTTTGAGGTGTTGAAGATGTCCTAACAGCCTCTTTAGACTGCTGCTCTCTGCTCCCACCCACCCTCATGAGACCAGTGTGGGACTTCACGGCCCATGAGTGCCCCAGGGGAGTTAGGACCCAGGAGTACGAGCAGACACAGGCGGGAAGAGCCCGCCGCTTTTCCTGTGGATGCTGGACAGCAGACAGGCTGTGACGGCCATGGTCAGAGGGGGGTGGAGTCGGAGCAGAGGCTGTCCCGTCCGCTCCGGGGGCGGTAGTGCCCTTCTGGCCTGGTCAAGGTGCCAGCCGTGTACTCCCTGCAGACCCTTACGTCTGCATTCAGAAGGGCTGTGTGGCCTCTGAAGGTGTCTTTGACCTTGAGTTGTTGACGTCTTTATCAGGAAGTTAGAGCTTGTCTGGTGTAAAGGAGCTGGGAGAGCCATTGTGTTCTGTCTCCCACGCGCACACTGCCTTGTCCAGAGTGTCCCCAGGGTCTTTAGATGCTAACAACGTCTTTAATTTCATGGTTTCCACATGGGGGTGGGGTGCAGTCCTGTGGGATCTATTTAAAATTAGAAGGGTGTCTTCTATCTTGGAGCCAGTTCAACTGTAACCCAGCCCAATACACCTTGACCCTTAGAGATGCCTGCTGAGAAGTCTACGAAGGTAAGAAACAGGTTCTCCTCCGAGAAGAAAGCTGTCTGGCTCTGCACTTGAGCTCTCAGCAAATACAGCTGGGGAACGGCTGTCAAACCTGCATCTCCTCTTCCCGTACAGACTGGTCATGGCCAGAGGGCCACGCGTCCTACACCCACACTCCGCATCTCGTGCACCCCGTCCCCACAGAGACAGCAGGTCCGAAACACTCTTAGCACTTCACGGTTAATGGTTTCTTAAAATACGTGTGGTTTGTTCATTGATGTCGGGTGACAGTGAGAGGTTCTGGAGACCTTCCAATACAGGTTTGGTTGTACAGAAGGTGCACTGATATGTATAAAATGTGAATTGGTTATTAAATGTTTTACTTGCTGAAGGAAGTTTAAACCTGGTATTAATGAAAATGACCTTTGCTCAACTGGTATTTTTCTTTGTCCCACATTAATTGGGTCTCATTTGGGGCTCTGTCTGATAGTTAATATTTAATGAAGAAAAGCTCTCAAGTCTTGCCCTCGAGTAATTTGGTGGGAACTGGTTCTAACGATGATGTCATGCCTGGTCTGGGTTCTGGGTGCCAGCTGTCACTGTGAGCGGCCGGGAGGGGGAGGGAGAGGGAGCCTCCCGTGCCTGCCTGGACGCTAGCTTAGCCGAGTCTTATGCTAACCCCTCTTCCAACGAACAGTTTGCTTCCTTAAGTGGTAACCATTTGAAGTGAAAAATACCTAGACATGTAAGTGGACTCCTGCCGGTAGCTGGTGGGGTGTTTGCCTCAATGTGTTCACTGATCAGTCATCCCTTTCAAAGTCTCCAGTTCTTCATGCTTGTTGTTGAGATTTGAGATGTTTTTTGGTAACATTGTCTTTTTTCCATCCTTTTTTTTCTTTCCTAACCTGGTTTCTTCCAGTGCAACTGCAGATAGAAGACCTGACTCGTAAACTGCGCACAGGAGACCTGGGCATCCCCCCTAACCCTGAGGACAGGTTGGGAAACAGTTTTAACCAGCTGACAGTAACGCTTTTACCTTTTTCTCAATACGTTTTACTGGTGGCAACATGTTGTGTCAGTTCAATGATGGTAGTGAGACGACTGCTCCTCTGACCATGCTGGGGACTAGAGTTAACTAGGAATGCATATGTATGTATGTGGTCAGCCTGCAGTTAGAAAATGGGCACGAAACTTGGGAATAAAGTTACGGGGACATGGACAACTGGTTTCCAAGTGGTAAGCATGTAGGTTTTAACCTGAGGGACAGTGAGGTGGCCGGCTAACCTGCCTCTCAGTGCGCTCTGACCGGGCGCAGGGCCAGTTCTCCTCACAGGAGCACCCTTCTCGCAGGGTTCAGAGTATTTTTGGGCATCGCTGAGTTCGAGCAGGCCGGAGACTGGTCAGCTCGTCGCAGCTTCCTGCGCATGGTCTTCAGATGGTTTTAAAATCAGAAAAGATTTCTAACCAACTTCCTTCACTGCCAGATAATTTTCAGCCTTGGCCATTGCCTGGGGGTGCTGGGAAGGGCCAGCACATTCTCACCTGTGTGGGGGAAGGCAAGCAACCAACCTTAAATATTTTTTGAATTTAAGGGAGTGTGGGCCTGGGACAGCTGTGGTCATGTCATTTCAGTGTGCCAAATCATCTCGGAAAAGTCAAACATTGATGTGAGGAAGGTGAACTTTTTTGAGCGAATTTTATTGGCTGGTCTTTGAACAGCTAAGATCGGGTCGCTTACAGAAGGCGCCGCGCCTCTTCGTGCGTGCTGCATCAAGTTGCGCTTTTGTCTTGTTACTGGTGGACGCTCCAGCCAGGAAGATGGCGCAGAGCCCTGCGCAGTGGCGCACGTGCGCATCTTCGGCCACCCTTTGCGGGACACAGGTTCACGTCCTCTTTCCTCCATCGTGACGCAAGTGTACTCAATGACACTCGTTCTGTTTTTACCCGTAGATTTTGGCTGGAGGACTGTTTTATATTTATTTTTTACTTCAAAAGTTTTCAAAACAGATTTGCATTGTAAGTCACAGACCACAACTGTTGAGTGCCTGTTTGTGGCCTTTTTCCCTGTAATGATGTCGTAGCGGTTACCAGGCAATCCCTTAAAAGGTTGCATTTAAGAAACCTGCTTTCTGGAGACTGGGGTTAGAGCTCAGTCAGCTGCTGCTGCCTGTTCCGGTGGCGAAGCCGGCAGCAGACCAGGTCGGCAGCCTTTGCTTTTCACCTCCGCAGTTTGGGGAGAGGCCGAACGCTGCGCGGCCTTTAGTTTGGTATTGGTGACACTGGTTTTGGCCATGAGCCCGAAATGCTTAACTCGAGGCAGCTCTGGGGTGGGGCTTAGCGATGTGAGCATGGCAGTGACAAAGCCAGAGTAGGGCTGGGCTTGGAGGAGGCCCTAATGACCGAACGGTTCTGCCTTTGAGCCAAGGTTGGAGGGAAATGCATGAGTTGGTTATATGAATAAGATTACTTCTTAAGGTGTATCTCCTAAAAAAGCCACTTTATATGCTATTTTGATGTTGCTTAACTTGTGTAGTTACAAATGCTTTAAAATCTCTTGTAGACGTAAGTGTGTAAGGTGCTAGCGTGACGAGAGCTGGGGCACACGTGCTTTTGTTCACTGCTCCTGGATTGCGCTGACAGTTTATGTACATGCTAGAAACGGAGGTGTCACTTAGCCGTCAGTAGCCATGAACAAACCTGACCTTTGATTCCATCGTGTGTGTGACGTGGTATGACATGGTTCCCTTTAGGCTGAAGACAGTGGGAGCAGCCGAGCTCAGTCCTTGCTCTCCAACTAGGAAGGTTCTCTCAACTGAACCAAGGTGTAGGAGTCGGGACTCCTTTCAGGATGGTTTTTCATAACCTGATCCACACGGTCTCTTCCCTTCTTGCAGCTGTTACTAAATTTTCATACAGAATATCAAGCTGTGGTCCTTTTTGTAATCTTAACTCAGAATTCTAGGAGTGTAACTTCTCTTTTTTTATTACCGCAAAATCCAGCTGTGGTAAACTGACCGTTTTATCATCATTACTATTATTACTATTTTTTTACTTGTAGCAACAGCATTTTACTCCTTAAAACAATGAGAGAGAGAATCTGCTTTCTGGACTTGTAAACTCTGGCGGAGAATCCTGGGTTTTCCCTTGCTGTTTGCAGGTTCAGACCCTAGACAAGCATTTGACCAAATCTGCTTTGCAGCCTCTCTCAGAAGCTGCCTTAGCGCTTTTAACGTTTTTCTCTACCCAGACTCCCCAACCTCCAACAGCCAGAAAACAGGTTGTCTCCTGGGCCTTGGACACAGCCTGCCAGGCCATTGAAGGAAAAGCAAAGACGAAGCCTTGAACCATCTCTCTCCATTGTGGGGCCGAGTGGCCGCAGTGGCCTTGAGCCCCAGCCGCACTGGGTCCAGGAGCTCATGCTCACTGCGCTAGGGGTGCAGGTGCTCCTCCAGAGGGCACGAGCTGTCACCTCACCTGGGGGGCCTGTGGTTCATCAAGTTGTGATACTGTATTTTTTTAATGAAAATCCATATTTGGCAAGAAAACTTCAGAGGATGATTCTGCCCTTGGCGTTTATAGTCCAGAGATTCCCCCAAGGACAGACTTTTTTCTCTCCCCCTCGTCACTTTCAGAAGCAAAACCATTTTTTTCCTTTCTCACACACACCCCAGTCCCCTTAATGCTCAGCCAGCCTCCATCTCCCCATTCCACACGATCTGGAATAGCACACGTTACGGTCGGTTCCTCCGAAGAGTGTTAGGGTCTGAGAGGCAGAGGGGCTGGGGAAGACTTGCTGTAGTCCACGTGGGAGGGGCGGGGAGGGGCAGTGAGGGCCGTCTGTTTCCCGCAGGTCGCCTTCCCCTGAGCCCATCTACAACAGCGAGGGGAAGCGGCTCAACACCCGCGAGTTCCGCACCCGCAAGAAGCTCGAGGAGGAGCGGCACAACCTCATCACGGAGATGGTCGCCCTGAACCCCGACTTCAAGCCCCCCGCGGATTACAAGTGAGCAGGGCGACGGGCGCGGGCCTGGGGGGCAGGGGTGACGGTAGGAGAGCAGCCAAGTGCCGTCCCCCAGAAGCACGCAGGGTTGGTGGTGCCTTCTCTTGCTTAGACCTCCAGCGACACGGGTGAGCGACAAAGTCATGATTCCCCAGGACGAGTACCCAGAGATCAACTTCGTGGGGCTGCTGATCGGGCCCAGGTGAGAACCCCGGCTTCTGGGCTGCAGAGTGCTCGGGCCCTGTGAGGTGGTGCTCGCGCCTGACGGGTGCCGTGGGCCCCTTCTGGGTCCGGTAGGGCGTTCGCTCTGGGTGGCTTATGCCTTCTGCAGCCTCCCCATGTCTGCCGCAGAGAATTCGGGTCCCTAGGTTCGCTGGGGCCGACTGACTTAGAGGCCGTGAAGCTCTCGGGTGGGGGTAGGAGTGGGGGGGGCCTCAGCTGCACCTGCAGTTGCCCCACCGCCGCAGAGTGCAGTCTGTCCTCTCGCGAATGCGGACTTGTGTCCGGTGCAAACCCGTCCCTCCTGCCCCCGACAGAGGGAACACCCTGAAAAACATCGAGAAGGAGTGCAACGCCAAGATCATGATCCGGGGCAAAGGGTCCGTGAAGGAAGGGAAGGTCGGGCGCAAGGACGGCCAGATGCTGCCCGGGGAGGACGAGCCGCTGCACGCCCTGGTCACGGCCAACACCATGGAGAACGTCAAAAAGGCCGTGGAGCAGGTGAGCGGGGCCCTGCGGCGGGGACTGCTGCGGGTGCCTGGCTCGGGCCGGCCCGGGCACTGAGGTCGCTCCCCGCTCTCCGTTAGATCAGGAACATCCTGAAGCAGGGCATCGAGACTCCAGAGGACCAGAACGACCTGCGGAAAATGCAGCTGCGGGAGCTGGCGCGCCTGAACGGGACCCTCCGGGAAGACGACAACAGGTGTGCTGCGCGGCGGGGGCCTCGGAACCCATGGGAGCAGTGCGCAGCCCTGGGACTGACACCCCCTCCCCCACAGGATCTTAAGACCCTGGCAGAGCTCAGAAACGCGTAGCATCACCAACACCACCGTGTGCACCAAGTGCGGCGGGGCCGGCCACATCGCTTCCGACTGCAAATTCCAGAGGTGAGGGAGCCCACGCGGCGCCCGGCGGTCTCACGTAGTCTCTCCTGTCCGCTGCCCAACAGCACATGGGTGCTCCTAGTGCTGTGGCTCCGGGAGAAGCCTTGTGCTGACTCTGGGGAGGTGATGTAGACCCCAGGAGGTCTGGAACGCCCCTGTAGGATGCTGCTGTTCTTACTGTTCTTGGGAGTCCCGGGGCATTGGAGGCTTCCAGTTTGGGTGGAGGAATGTGTCCCTGGGGCCTGGTGTTCATTGACTCAAGAAGCCTAAGCTGCCTACACATTTGACCAATTGCAAATTAGCACTCGATGTCCACCTTTTCCCGCGCTGGCTGGCAGCCAAGCTGCGGCTTTGCTAAGGCATTGTTTCCTGAGCGTTGGCCGTCCCCCTCGGCCTGGGAATGTAGGATCGGGTGGGACTTGAGTCGGCAGGCCTGCTTTGGTAGCTGTTGGCACAGCAGCAGGCCCAGTGAGGGCTGGGAGAGAAGTTCTGATGCGCGCGTCCTGCAGAACACTGTCTGTGTAGATTACTCGGGGTGAAAGCTTCCTCCTTGAGTGTTTTTTGCCCTTCGTATCCTCCCCCCCTCAGGCCTGGTGACCCTCAGTCTGCTCAGGATAAAGCACGGATGGATAAAGAGTATCTGTCCCTCATGGCTGAACTGGGTGAAGCACCTGTCCCAGCGTCTGTGGGCTCCACCTCAGGGCCTGCTGCCACCCCGCTGGCCAGCGCGCCTCGGCCTGCCGCTCCTGCCAACAACCCTCCTCCACCGGTGAGCCGGGGCTGCTTCTCTGGCCTGGCCTCCCCGTTCTCTTCCAGAGACTGGGAACCACGGCCAAACATGTTGGGTACAGCAGATTGGTGGGCGTGGCTGGCAACACTGTTCTTCCCCGGGCCTCTCACTTGGGAGGACCCTGGCCTTGTGTTCTGGCGATGGCACGGCTGGAAGAGCAGTGTTGCCACCAGGGGGAGCCGGCGGGGATGCTGACCGGAAATGCTCTCATGTAGTCTCTCATGTCCACTACCCAGAGCCGCCCACCCTGGATGAATTCTGGCCCTTCAGAGAGTCGACCCTACCATGGCATGCACGGAGGGGGCCCTGGTGGGCCTGGAGGCGGCCCCCACAGCTTCCCACACCCGTTGCCCAGCCTGACAGGTGGACATGGCGGACATCCCATGCAGCACAACCCTAATGGACCCCCACCCCCTTGGATGCAGCCGCCGCCGCCACCGATGAACCAGGGCCCCCACCCACCTGGGCACCATGGCCCTCCTCCAATGGGTAAGTAAGTGTCAGACCAGAAACCCTGGGGTCTGGGGCAAGCAGGGTTTAGGGGGTAGCAGCTTGAGGTGCTAAGCAGTGAGCACCCAGGGCTTGCCTGATTGGCCCAGGCTCCGGGGGAGGGGGGCAGGACTCCCTTCTAGCTCAGGAAGTGAGTTCACGCATCAGCCCAGACCTGCCTCTGCCCTTGGGAGGCCAGCGTGTGAGCCGTGGGACTGCAGGAGCTGCTGGGGGTGGCCGTCCCTGGCCTGTTCAGATGTCCTGCTAAGTCCCTGCTCTCTGCTTCCATCAAGATCAGTACCTGGGAAGTACGCCTGTGGGCTCTGGGGTCTATCGCCTGCATCAAGGAAAAGGTAATGGCGTCTGCTTGCTTCGAGTCCACATGGGCTCGGTCCCCTCTCCCTCTCCCCTCCTGGGACCTCCCCCTCACCGTCGCCTGTAACCCGACTGCAGGTATGATGCCGCCGCCGCCTATGGGCATGATGCCGCCGCCGCCGCCGCCTCCCAGTGGGCAGCCCCCGCCCCCGCCCTCTGGTCCTCTTCCCCCATGGCAACAGCAGCAGCAGCAGCCTCCGCCGCCCCCTCCGCCCAGCAGCAGTATGGCTTCCAGTACCCCTTTGCCATGGCAGCAAAGTGAGTGGCATATTTTGGGCTCGTGGGGGTGGGTGGGATGGGGGGTGGGGCTGAGAGGACCGGCGGCACCTCACAGCTCAGGAGTGCGCGCGCTCGCCCGCCCGCCCGGGAGGAGGAGACTCCCTGCGGTGTGAGCTGGAAGGGGCCTCCTGGCCCGGTGGGGGGGTGAGGGCGACGTGGGGGAGCAGAGCTGATGTTCGGTGTGGTTGTGTCTGGGCAGAGATCTGTGGGGGCCAGGAGGGGAGCCTGCTGCTGTAGGGAGGGTGCCGGCAACCCAGGCTCTCGCGGGCAGAGCCGCCGGCTGGCCCGAGCCTTCCACGCATGCTCTGGAGAGGGCCGGGACTGGGCCAGAGAGACTGCAGGGGGGCTGGGCGAGGGCAGAGAGCAGTTGCGGCCTTGAGGTTGAATGTGCCGTTCGGTGGTGGCGGCGGCTGGGCGGAGGGGCGTAAGAGCCGGTTCTTGTGTCTGGTGCTTTTCCCTCAGCCCCTCCGGGGGCATTGGTGACAAAGGGCTTACTCTGTTAAGCCCAGAGACCTCGAGGCTGACCCCAGGGTAGTCCTGCCCACCCCTCCACTCCCCACCACCAGGACAGCCCCGCCCGCCCGCCCCCCACCACCGTGCCGCATGCCAAGCAAGGAGCAGGCGCCCTCACCCCGTCCCAAGGCAGCAGCCGCAGAGCGCGGTGTGCCCCCCGCGCGTGTGACCTTGGGCTTCTTTACCACCCCAGATACGACGACTACCACCACGAGCGCTGGCACAGGGTCCATCCCGCCATGGCAACAGCAGCAGGCGGCTGCCGCAGCTTCTCCAGGAGCCCCTCAGATGCAAGGCAACCCCACTATGGTGCCCCTGCCCCCCGGGGTCCAGCCGCCTCTGCCGCCCGGGGCCCCTCCCCCTCCGCCGCCTCCGCCGCCTGGTTCCGCCGGCATGATGTATGCCCCGCCCCCCCCGCCCCCGCCTCCCATGGACCCTTCTAACTTTGTCACCATGATGGGCATGGGGGTGGCGGGCATGCCGCCCTTCGGGATGCCTCCAGCTCCCCCGCCGCCTCCACCACAGAACTAGACTCGTTTTTTAAGAAAATATATATTATAGAGAGAGAGAATTGGTCTCGTTTAAACACACGCCGAACCTCACCATATGGAGCCAGACATTGGGACGCACGCATGTGATTGTGTGCACGCATGTGTGTGTGTGCACGCACCGGGCTGGGCCAAGCGACCGAGGACTCGCTTGGGAACGGGCAGGTGGTAGTAGGGGCGCCAGCGTGGGCTCTCCTGGCGCCTGTAGCATCGAGTGTCTTTGTCTTTTCTCTCCTCACCCAACTCCCTTTGCCTCTCCCCAAACCGGGCCGCCAGGATCCCTCCCCGCGGCGGCGATGGCCCGAGCCATGAGAGTGAGGACTTTCCGCGCCCATTGGTGACCCTTCCAGGCAGACAGCCTCAGCAGCGCCCCTGGTGGACAGGATGGTTCGGCAAAGCAGCCTGAGTTATTTTTGTGGACGGAATCAGAACACGCTGGCTCCATATCGTGAAATTTTTATTAATTTTTTTCTTTTTTCTTTGTTATTTCCTTACCTCTTCCTTTCTCCAGACTCCGTCCAAGGAGACGCTCTCCCTGGTCTTCTGCTGCAATTAGATTCCTTTTCTTTCTTCTCCATCCCTCTTCCCTTGCCAAGGAAGGGGGAGCAAGTGGCTGTAGGCACGGACTGTGGCCGTTGGTGTTGGGCTGGGGGTAGTGGGAGGTTTGGGTTCGAAGTTGTTCCAGGTGCCGTAGGCGGCCCCAAGCGTGGTTTTGAACAAGCTGGCCTTGCTGAGGGCTGCAGAGCTGCCAAGGGCAGGGCCTTCTCTCGGGCCTGGTCCTTGCATCCAGCCTGGAGTCGGTGCCGGGCCCTGTGGCCACGGGAGCTGCCTCCAGCGCCACTTGCTCCTGTCCTTCCGGAAGCTTCTTCTACATTTTATTTTACTCCCAACGTCTGACTGTTGCAGTGTCTGGGGCTTTGGACCCTGTGTTCTTCGTTCTGCCTCCTCCCCTGCCCCACCTCCCCCTCATGGAGTGATTATGTTGACAATAATGTATAACGCGCGTTCTCTTCACTGGTTTATCTACAGAAATTTCTTGGGCTTTTTTTCGGTGTTTGATTCGACACTGCGCTAACGTGGGGATGTTCCATTGAATAAAAGAGCAGTGTGGTTTTCTGGGTCTGTTGCTTTTTTTCTTAAACCTTCTCCACCGGCAGCGGCCCCGGACTGACGTGTGTTCAGCACCTGGCCCCAGTCTCGCTCCCTGGGGAGGCCTGGGACGGCTGCTCAGGGCCCTGCGCTGGAAGTGGCTGCGTGGGTGGCTGGCTGGCTGGCTGCCCCCGTGGGAAGAACCAAGCTCGCCCTTTATTGCCGCCGTCTGAGGTGTGGACCCCACGTTTGCTGAGCTCCAGTTGCGATTTGTGCCTGCGGGCCGCCACCTGCCTGGGGCCTCAGCCCGAGGAGCCAGCACCAGTAAAGGTCAAGCCAACTAATCCTGCCCGCCAGGCACAGAGCAGCTAAAATTAAAACCGCCAAGTGGCTTTTTCCCTCTGCTGGTGACTTGCAGCCTGTCAGCACCGCAGGCTCCGGGGAGCGGCAGGGCCAGCGCCCGGCCACCAGGCGCTGCAGAGGGTCGGGTGGGGCAGGCGGCCCCTGTGTCCACGAGGCAGTGGTGCCCCCACGCCGCTCCTCTGTGTGGCTTGGCCGTGCTGTTGCTGGGGAAGCCATCTTGCAGCCGTCCTGCTGGCCCCTGGGGACAACAGCTCTGGCTTGGCTGCCTCCCGGCCGAGAGCTGGGGCCCAGTCCAGGAGGAACCCTCAGAGTTTGGTAGGTTTCCCTGACCAAGCCCTGAACGGGCTCAGAACTTCCCCCTTTGTCCTTAGCTGATGGCGTGGGGGCGGGGCCCTGCCCTCTGCGACCTTGGCTTCACCTCGCTGCTCCCCCACGAGCGTGGTTTCCCTGGTGGGCTCGTTGGGCGGTTAATTAGCTCTTTGAAGCTCTAGCAGCAGCAAAGTGGCGCTATGTGGGTTTTAGAAATAAAATCAATAAATGACTTAACCACAGCCCAGCCATCTCCTCCGTCTCTCCCCTGGGGCAGCCCCGTTCCTGTGCCCGCTCCCTCTGCTCCCTGCTGTCAGCCTTTGTTAAGGTTTTGGAGAGAGGCTGCAAAAAGGCATCAGGCTGCAGGCCGCCTGCAGCCCTGGAGCGGAGGTGATGGCAGGAGGCTTGACCCGCGGACCCTGCACCTGCCCACCGGTCCCGGGGGCGGGGGCGGGGGCGGGGGCGGGGGCGGCGCGCCCCTCCGATTGTGCTGCTGCAGCAGTGCCCCCCCAGCACTTGGCCAGCTGGGAAAGGTCAGCCCGGAGGCTCTGTTACTGAGCCCGGGCCATGTGCTCTGCAGAAACCCAAGACTGCGCCGGGCTTCTGGCCGCCAGCGCAGACGTAAACAAACAACCCTGAGGGGTTCGGGTTGGAAAAGTGCGCTTTCAGGGCTTGTGCAGATCACACGCTGGGACAGGGGTCGGGACGCCAGGTAGTGGAGTTAGGCCTCTGAGCCTCAGCAGGGCTGAGGCACGCAGACGGGGAGCAGCCCCTGCGGTGGTGTCACTCCTGGGAAGCAGGCCTGGAGGTGGAGCTGCTGGCACTGGGACGACGAAGAACCCACTAGGGAGGGCAGTGGACACGGGGTGGGGGTGGGGGAGACCCCTCAGCGCAGCCAGCCTGTGTGCAGGAGGGTGAGCTGGGGGCCCGGGGCCAGGAGCTGGCCAAGGGCTGTACTGATGGGCTGCCATGGGTGTTCCAAGTTCTACAGCAGCAGGACTGCATGGTCAAGCTGCCGCAGGGCGACAGTGGGCACAGCAAGGGGCCTGAGCTGGAGCCAGGGGTTAGGGGACACAGGCCGAGTGTGGCAGATGCGGATGGGAGAGAGCAGTTGCCAGGCGTCCCCTCCTGAAGCACTAAGACTTCCAGAGCGGGGCAGTGGGGCTCTCCACACTCCCGTGTTTCGGGGGTGTCTTCCTACTTGGAAACATGGCTCCGTGGGAGGCGAGCCTGGCGATGCTGTCCGAGGGGAGGCGGGGGCCCAGGGCTCCTGTCCGGCCTCGCGCTGCAGCCCGCACGTGGAGCCGAGTCCAGGGCTGCTGTGGCTCCCAAGGTTCTTGGAAGCAGCGTGGCCTTCTCTGAACCCGGCTCAGTGGCATCCAGCAGCTGGCCAGCCTCTGAGCGGCCTCCTTGGCTCCCGGGGCAGAACACCCAGTTCTCCCCCCAACCCTCCACCCACACGGGAGGCCTGGGCACCTTTGGAATAAGGAGCTGAGTGAGGCAGGGCTTAGAATACATCTGATGAAGGAGTCCAGTGCCCAGGAAGGCAAAGCGAACAGCAAGGCCGTGCTGGGGCTGAGACCTGAGCAGTGAGCGGGCAGCCAAGGCCTCAAGGAAGGGTGTGAGTGGGGTGCAGGCTGTCACGGGAGGTCGCAGAGAAGGCCCTGCCCAGTGTGTGCCCCCCCCCCCCCCCCCGGCTGGGCTGGGGGTGGGGAGTGAGCGAGGAAAGGCCTCTGCAACCGAGATGCAAGCCACTCAAACCCAAGATTGGGAGTGCGTGGACTACAGTTCCCAGGGGCCTCTGCTCCGGGCCCAAGGCCCCCAGCCAAAGCCGGCCTGTAATCTGACCATTCCCCTTGAAAAGGTCACTTGGGAGCTCCTTGAGGGACAGCAACAGGGGGAACTCAGAGCGGCTCAGCTCTGGTGGGGGTGGGGTGAGCGAGCTCTCCCACTCCACCCCCTGAAGAGCCCCAGATCCTGGGCTCCCTCTGGCAAGCGCCCCGCGCCCTTACTGCTCGCTGCACCCCGGCTCTCCGGCCCCTGACCCCCAACCTGCAGGGAGTCCCGGCCCCTCCCACCACAACCCAGGGGCCTCCCCACCCCAGCGCGGCTATCCACAGCAGCCAGACCTGGCTCACGGTCTCTGATCAAGTGTCTGATGGAGGGGAGAGAGGCCCGCAGTCCAGTCCCCCTAGGAAAAGGGCCCAGGATGGGGACAGGCTCATCAAGCCCCGGGCCTCCAGCGAAAGGCAGGGAGAGGCCCGAAGACAGAAGCCCGGCTGCTGAGCCAGGAGGAAGTGGGTCAGCATGGGGCCGCGGTGCAGCTAGCCGGGCCCTCCTTCCCCTGTCCTCTCAATCCCAAAAATAGCTCCAGGAGCTGCCAGGCCAAGACCCTCCCCCTGGGTGGTGGTGGTGGTGGTGGTGGTGGGGCGGGGCGTGCAGGCCGGGGCCAGGGTTTAAATTCCCTGGAGGCTGCAGAGCTCCACTCCCTGGCTGGAGGCACCCTCAGGCCACCCGTCCGCCCTTCCTTCCACGTCTCGCCCGGCCCGCCTCCCGCAGCCATGTCCCGGCCCCTGTCAGACCAGGAGAAGAGAAAGCAAATCAGCGTGCGCGGCCTGGCCGGCGTGGAGAATGTGACGGAGCTGAAAAAAAACTTCAACCGCCACCTGCATTTCACCCTGGTGAAGGACCGCAATGTGGCCACGCCGCGAGACTACTACTTCGCACTGGCCCACACTGTGCGCGACCACCTCGTGGGGCGCTGGATCCGCACGCAGCAACACTACTATGAGAAGGACCCCAAGGTGCTGCTGGGGGCACCCGTGGGGGCTCTGGGCTGGGGAACCCCGCCAGGGAGCTGGGACGTCCTGATGAAGTGGGTGCCGCCTCCTGGGGCCCGGGTGTGCTACGGCCAAACGAAGGGTGCAGGCCCGACCATGGGCTGTGTGGCCACTGCGGGGGGCAGGGAGAAGCCCAGGGCGGGATCAGGTTGGGGGTGCTCAGGGCACCCACTCAGAGGTTGGAGGGGGTGGTGGTGGGCAGGAGGGCATCGAATGTGTATGCGGCATGCGTGCGCCGCGGGCGAGGCCGGGGCAGCTGGGGCAGCGGGGATCAAGTGTCTGCTGGGGTCACTGGTAAATGTCAGCAACCTAACACCCACAGCAGGGGTGGGGGAGGGGCCCAGGGAACCTGCAGCCGGGCACTGCCAGCATCCTTGCCCCCATGGTGGTGCCCCTCGGCCTCCTGCTCAGAGCTGGGACTCGAGGCCCAAGGGGTACCGGGCAGTCCAAGGACGATGGGAGGTGGCGATCACTGGCCCTGAGTCACCGCGCGACCTTGGGCAAAGGACTCTTTGCTCTGGGTCTTGGCCTTGGCCTCTTGGGGGCCACCTGCAGGTGCTCTGTGCCCAGACTCCCGGTGGGCTGTCGGGAGGCACGTGAGCCCGGGGAAGGGTTCCCGCCTTCCCGAAGCAATCACTGGGCGTCTTCCAGATGAGGAGCCCGAGGCCGGGGGAGAAAGTGATTTATTCCAAGTCAGAGGAATGCTGGGACCAGAGCCCGAGAAAAGCGGTGGGGGACAGGGATGGCTTCCGGCCTGGGAGCCGTGGGGGAGCAGCGGAGAGCTGCTGGCCGGTCTGACCCCCTCTCCTGCCCGCGTGTCTCTCTGGGCAGAGGATCTACTACCTGTCTTTGGAGTTCTACATGGGCCGGACGCTACAGAACACCATGGTGAACCTGGCTTTGGAGAATGCCTGCGACGAGGCCACCTACCAGGTGTGGAGGGGCGGGGCGTGCCGGGGGGGGGGGGGGGGGGGGGCTCCTCCTGCTGGCACTTGGCCCTCATTGCTGCCCATCCCCCAGCTGGGCCTGGACATGGAGGAGCTGGAGGAAATCGAGGAGGACGCCGGGCTGGGCAACGGCGGCCTGGGCCGGCTGGCAGGTGAGTGGCCGGCTGGCGGGGCAGGGCGGGGCGGGGGGGGCGGGGGGAGCACCTGTCGCTCACCACCCTGCGCACCCTATAGCCTGTTTTCTGGACTCCATGGCAACACTCGGCCTGGCTGCCTATGGCTACGGGATCCGCTATGAGTTTGGGATCTTTAACCAGAAGATCTGCGGGGGCTGGCAGGTGAGCAGCCTTAGCCTTGAGTCCCGTCATGGTGGAGAGGGTGGTCGCCTGCCACTGGACAGGAGCGGGACCAGCCTCGGCCTCTGGAGAAAGCATCCCGGCCCCTCCACTGCTGCCCCAAAGCCCTCTGGCGCCCGCTGGGACAGGTGGTCCACGCCGTGGACTGCTTGGGACGCTCATGTGCCAGCAGAGCAGGGCCCACCCCAGAGCCCTTAGTTCGCGCCTGCCCACTTG